CGCGACTGGGTGCGTATCTCCTGCCAGTGGCGGATCCCGCGGAAGTCCATCGGTCGCAGCGATGCGGGCGTTGCCTGCGCCCAACACGCCAACGGAGGCGTCGCACTCGGGCGCAGCGCCGGGGATGGACGACCGCTGCCGGGCAGGATGCGCTTCACCGTCACAGCGTGCTCGCCGAGGTCGCAGGAAAGGCCATACGAGTTGCACAGCTGCTTCAGCGAGCGGACCTCGTCCTTGGTGAGATCCGCGCGCTGGTACACGAAGCCCTCGTGCTCCGTACTCACACGGAGGTCGCGCACCAGCTGCTGCAGCGTCATGCCCTTGTCACGCTCCGTGGTGCACTTCTCTTTCTTCTTGAATTCCACCTTTAGCGGTCGTGAGCCGATGACGAATCGCTCCAGCCGCAACTTGCACTCCTCCGCCACCTCGCGGCTGGGGTACTTCACGAAGATGACGTTTTTGAACACCCCCCGCTCGCCGCGGTGGAGGCGGATGTACGACGGCTTCTGTGGGATCGCCTTCTCGAGCTCATCGATGATGCGCTCTGTCTTGGTCAGGCTCGGGAGGCCCTTCAGCACAAGCGAAGCGTTCAGCACGGAGCGATTGCGGGAAACCACCGCCACTGCAGCCTGCGGCCACTTCTTCTGGAGCAGCTCGCTGAAATTCTCTGCCTCGCTGCTCTCAGCAAACAGAAGCGAAATAAGATGACCCCTCAACAGTTTCTCAGATGGGACAGACGGCGGGAGAGTCAAATCCGGCAGTGAGGTGCCGGGCGACTCGTCACCGTCGTCAACGGGCGCCGCCACCGCCGCCACCATCGGCGTGCGGAACGGCGAAAGGTCCATGCCGCTTTGTTTCGACCTGGTCTTGTTTGCGGGAACCGTACTGCACCCGGTGTTTGCTGTTGCTGCACCGCCATCAGCTTCTGCTGCTGCCGCAACCGCATGTCCTTCAGGACCAGTAATCGTGTTGCTGTTGCTGGTAGCGTTGTTGTTGTTGCTGTTGTTGTCAGTGGTGGTGGTGGTGGTAGCCGCTGTTGTTGTTGTTGTTGTCGCAGCAGCAGCAGCAGCGCCGCTGTTGTCAACGTTGCCAAATTCCGCACCACCCGCCCCCACGCTGCCGTTGCACCGTGGAAACAGCAGCCGCGGTGAGCCGACATCATAGGTTCGCAGCGGCGTTGTTGCGAGCAGGCTCAACTCCGACTTGAGCGTGGCGAAGGTCACTCCGGGCGGAAGCACGCAGTTCACAAAGAAGTCATCGACGTCCTGCTGCCGCTGCGCTGACCGCGTCTTCCCGCGGCCCCGTCCTCTGCGCGAGCGGTGGCCTTTGCCCTGCGCTGCCGCGTCCTTCTCGCACTGCGCAGCCGGCAGCACGGCGGGGCTAAGCAACATAGGGTGGACGGCGGCCAAAGCAGTAGCAGGGGTGCTCTGCGGTGAATCACGCCAGGAAGAGACGGCGAACATCTCCTTCTGCTTTGCCAGCGGAATGAACTCGGGTAAGACTGGCATTTCTTTCCCCTTTTCTTGTGTTCTCTCTCTCTCTCTCCACCTTGTGGCGTGTCCACTCTCACCCGGCAAGAGGAAAGTAACTGACAAACGATCAAACAAATATTGGGTGGATCAATACCACGTTTGGGTGCTCGTCCTTCCCTCCTTTATTTCTTTTTTTTTTTT